AGAAATGGAGCATCAGCAGTGGTTATGCCCCAAACTGAGCCTCGTATCAGATACATAATCAGAACGCTGGGAGTAACCTACGGACCAAGTAACTTCAGGAAGCACACTGCCTTTTGTCACTTTCAGTCACAGATACATTTTGATTGTAAAAATAAATATTTTGGCTTATGCTTCAGAATTTTTGTAAATAATTTAAATGATAATGGACAAAAAAAAATCTTCCTTAATGCACACTGGAGAAATTATATATATATGAATTAACTCTGTGGATCATAATAGCTTTTGCAGATGAATCTTCAGCTCTATCAATTAAACGCATACTTCGGCAACTAAAAATTTGCTGTCAATTCCTATGATGTCCATCCACATTACAGCGCTGCTACAGAACACACACGTAAAGATTATTGAAAAAATTACTCTGCAGTACATAATTTGCAAAAGGTTAATAACTATTTGGAAACAATGGATGGAATTAGCTCCTAATGCAGAGCAGATGCTCAAAACGTTAGTTTTAAAAGAAAACATATTTAACGTATAAAGGAACAAAGAGGATCTCAATGTAGTTCTGTTGCTTAAAAGCAGGCAGAGGCTGCCGTAGTTCCAGACCCTCTGCTCACACAGTGCTGATGGAGCTCAGCAGTTCCTGATCCCTGCTGAGCCCTCCTGCACCAGAGATGCACCTCTGCATGCAGCCCAACCACACTGCTCCTCTGCCCCGATGTGGGACAGCTGGGGGGATGCGGTGGCACAGACGGCAGCAGGTATTTAACAGATCGTAGTTCTCGAGGATATTCACATTTAACACGGGGTATGAGAATTCTGTGTTTCACGTGGGATTCACTTCAGATGATGAAACACAGCGATGGGCAAAACCATCCCTCTGGAATGATCCGGGAACGGGAAAGAAGAACCCCTAAGTGGCAGTCAAACAGGAATCATCATCCCCAGCCAACGCTCGGAATACACTCCGACTGTAAAGTCTTAGTTAGACATAGGGAACAGATGAGACCGCGCCGAGCCGGGGAAGTGCTGAGGGAAGCGCCGGGAGCGCGCAGCGGCCAACAGGGGGCAGCTTCCGCGGGAGCGCGCCCCGCCAGCACCGCTCGGCACGGCACCGGGAGGTGAGCACCGGCCCGGAGCGGCACGGGTACGACCCCAGCGCTGGGAACTGCGGGGAGAACAGCGGTCAGGCCGGAGGTAGACGACCCGCTCGTTTGCGGGCAGTCTCGAAAAGGGAGTGCAGGCCTACGTGGGAACTTGGTGTCTGAGTTTGTGGAGATAAAGAACTTTGCATTGCGAGTGTACGTCGCTGTGCTTTCATACAGTCTGCTCTCTTCAGTAAAGCTGATGCAGAATCGACAACAGGATGTACATTTTTGTACTAACTAAAACCTTAAAAAAAAAAAAAACCTGAACAGTATTCATAGCTATAAAGGAGGAGTTAATAAAATTGAATGAATACTTCCGGAAAATGAAGACCCAAGAGGAGATGTCCCCGTGCCCAGCAGTGCCCCGGCAGCACCCATCAGGCAGCGCAGTGTGGCACAGCGCTCCCTCCTTCCCCAGGTGTCGGATGCTGGGCTGCTGCCACTGCCAGAGCATCAGATTAAGGGGATAAACGGGCTGCTCTGTTGTAGCCATTGTGCTCCAAAGATCGCATCTTCTCCTCTATAGTATTTAACAATAAATAAATGTCGTGAGATGGACCTTGAAGTTCTGTTCTCGCACGAGGCTGGAGCCCTGCTGGTTGTTCTAAATGTGCATAAGCTATCTCCACACCTTTCATTTCTTTATAGGTGCTACGATTTATCCCCCGGCCTTCTAGAAGTCTCCTTTGCTCATAAAACCCACCGTATTTCTGCCGATTATGTTATATTTTAGTAATCGGCAGCAAGAAGGGAGGTCATCACTACATACCCACGTACTGTATATTTGGAATTATTTGCAGCTGCACTGCTGACAGGTTCATTTAAACTACCTGTGATCTGCACTAACCTATCTGGGCGAGATGCTCCCTTAATTAATACCAATAGGAGGAAAATGATGCGAGCACTCAGCAAACACACACATGCCAGGTCCACATCACTGAGAGCAGCAGAAGCTACAGCAAAGAGACTGCAAGACAGGCTTTGGGGAGAACTGTTTCATGTCAGGAATCTTTCCCCTCTGCACTCCAAATCAATGGGGTTGTTTCCCAGAATTTGTAAACAACTCCCAAACAGTGCAAATAAGTCTCTGCTTTAAGTATGAATGTCAATGAACTCATTCAAATCATCCTGAAATGTCAGCAGAGATTAACACGTCCTGGCCACGGGAGGGAGGTCAGAGGAAGGCACGCTTTCAGCCTGCCGTGGGCACAATCCAAAGCCAATCTAAGTCTATGGGAAATTCCAGGAAGGGACCAGCATGTCAAAATTCCACAACAAGCACTGGAGACACAAGAGACCAGAACAGTCTGGGATCAATAGCTTCCAGGTCATTAATCCCACACAGGTGACATCCAGTGCACAGAGCGCTGCTCTGCTCCACGGACACATTCAGGAAACCTGATGCGACTGGGCATCCAATAGCTTTGAATATTTTTCGTGTTTTGCCTTTACACTTTTCCTATTTGTTTGGCATATGGCTTTCTAGCATCCCATTAATGTCAAACCGTTTAATCACAATGTAGGCTAAACGCACAGTTTGCTATTTCCTGGATTTCTGTTTGGCAACTGATGCTTTTTATGGGGAAAATAAAAGCAAAGGTCAGTAGGACCAGAAAAGTCATCCTCCATAGCGGAAGGCTGTTTTTCCAGCGAACTGATACAGAGCCTAATTTAGAAAAAGGTCCTTTAGTATCATGTTATTATTAGTAGTATCACAAATAAACACAGAAACCAATTCACTTTACAGAACTCCACATAAAGCATTGAATAGAAAATCCCTTGGTGCTTCATTGATTTTTGGTTTATTGATTTTTTTTTTAAATAGCAATATCACAGTTAAAATGTATCATTTTGGTGAAACGCATCTAAAACTTTTCTATCCTGAAATAAGTTATTACAAATGATTTCCACAGCAACTGGCAACTAACGACTCCATCCATTTAAAAAACAGCAAAGCATAGCTTTATTTGGACGCCTTTTTTGATTAAACAACCTATTAACCTTGATGAAGCTTTCCAAAAAAGGGGATTAGTGTATTTGAGTGCATCAGCTGATTATGAGAGAAATACAACAGTGATAAGATGCTGGATCACAATTTCTCCATCTGACGACTGTAGCAATTGAGCCGCTGGTTTGGAGCTGGCTCTTACAGCTCCATCTCCGCAGCAGTGTCTGCCCAAACACAGACAGACATCGCCCAGCAGAGCAGAGCCTGGGAAGGTCACTGCAATCACTGCACCGAGTGGATCACAATGCCCTATGTAAGCACTGTACAGCCAGAAATAATTACAAATAATTAGTTCATAAGGAACGAAGAGCCACAATGAAACATATCGCAGGGGAAACCCAGAAAGTAAATACAGTTAGATGTTCCGATGGTATCATCCGTTCTGACCCAAACTCACTGACCCACTTTGCTTTATCTTTCTATACCGTAATAACGCATTTTGCATCCCCATCGCAAATCCTTCCCATTAAGTTATTTGCTTAATGGATGTATAAATATGTCTACTGCAATTACGCTTTTTAAGGGTCAGATCCCATCCACTCCTGAACCCACGTCTGTAATTCCCACTGTGCTGGCTGGCAGCGCAGCACAGACCTGCGTTGCTGGAACACGGCCGGTACAGCACTGGTGCCACAGCCATGCCCTGCTGTCAGCCCCATGCCCTGTCGGGTATGGGGGCCTGCCCCCAAAGAAAAGTTTCTCCCTTTTGTACTCCCACATGTCGAAGTTGTGTATGGCACAATGCAAGTGTGACAAAGTGAAACTTCCGCCAGTTTCAAGGAGCAAACGTTGAACTCTTGCAGAGCTCTGACAACAGAAACACCTATCGATGTGCGCTGCAACAACGCAGTTCCCAAAGTTGGATTTCTATCAGTACTGGGATTTCGCCGGGCCGTGCTGCCTTGAGCACTGAGGAGCTCCATCCATGCGCTCACCCATCTCTCGGTGCCACCCCCGGCCCGGTCCGTGTGGGGAAGCAGGGCGCGTCGGCCCGCCGCTAAGACGGAACCGCACGGGGTTAATTCCCCACGTGCCGGCTCCCGCTGCACCCCGAGATGTGACAACGAGGAACCGCCGTGCTCTGCGCTGAGAGCGGCAGCGGGACCCCGCGGGTGCCCCCTCCCCAGCGCGGGGCAGCGGGGTCACGGCGGACCCTTACGGACCTCCCTCCCGTAACCCACGGACGCGGAGGTAACAGCCTCACGCTTTCTCCCCGAGCGGGCTGCAGCCGCGGCAGGAATTTCCTCTTTCGCCAGCTCCTTCTGTTTCTCCCCGCTCGCTGCCAACTTTGGGGCTTCCCCCCCGCCCCTCCCCTCCGCCCGACCCCAGGGTAAAGGGGGGCAGGGAGCGCGCTTCTGTGCGCGCCCCCTGCGCGCGTTCCCGTCGCCCCCCTTCCCCCCCCCTCGCGTCCGCCCCGCGCCGTAGCCCCGCCAACCCGCTCGCACCTGCTCGGCCCCGCGCCCCCTGCCCCGAGCGGAGCCCGCTCCTCCCCGCCCGCCATGTGGCGGCCGCACAAAAGTGTGTGACAGCGCTCGGCGGCCCAGCGGCCTCTGGGCAGCGCCTCACCCCACGGGTACGCACCCCCCTCCCCCCCCCCGCTCCCCCATCCGGCCGCTTTTCCACAAGGGTTAAAGCTGCACCCCAGCGGCACTAGGGGCCACACCTCGGCCTCGGAGGGAGGAGGGGTGGGGGGGGCACGGAGCAGGGGACAGCAGCGCGGCGCGCAGGGCACGGGGCAGAGCCGCCCCCCCCGTCCACCCCCGGGCCGGCAGCGGGGAGCGGCGCCGCACCGCGCGGGGGTGGGACGGGGGCGGGGGGGCCCCGCTCGCGGCTCGCGGCGGTACCTGGCGTTGGTGCAGTCGTTGTAGAGGGTCTCGAAATCCTTCCGGGAGATGAGTTTGCAGCGGTTGACGCCGGGCTGGATGGCCCCCAGCCCCCGCAGGATGCGGACCTGCTCCACGTTGCAGACCACGGGCGTGATCTCCAGGCGCTTCAGCTTGGTGTAGACCGTGTGCAAGCCCCCCACCAAGTGCTTCAGGAAGAGGTCGAACGCCTGGGGCAGGCAGATGAGCTCGCAGCCCTCCACGGTGAAGGAGGCCACTTTGGCCCCCCTCAGATCCACCATCTTGCACTCGTTATTCTGGGGGGTGTTCTCCACCGGGGACGGGGTCGAGTACACGGGCTTGCCGGGCAGGCTGCCGGCCGCGCCGGCGTTGGGCGTGGAGGTGCCGGAGGTGCCGCCGCCGGTGCCGCTGCCCAGGCTGGGGCTGCCGCCGCCGCCGCTGCCGCCGCCTCCGCCGCTGCCTCCGGTGGTGGTGGTGGTGGCGGTGGAGGTGACTGTGGCCGCCGCCGCCGCCGGCGCTGCGATGGGCTCCGGGCGGAATAGGTTTGTCCCCGAGGCGGGCGGCGGGGGAGCGATGGCCGGAGCCGGAGAGGAGGTGGCGGCCGCCGAGGAGGTGGTGGTGGTGGTGGTGCAGGCGGCAGAAGTTGAGACCGGAGGCTGAGGGGGGACCAGCGGGGCCGGAGGGATCAGCGCAGCCGGAACGGCCATGGTCACATATACGGCGGGGGGGGGCAG